TAGAGGAAGTGATTTAGTAGCATGGGCAGTAGGTTAACTCTGATAGGTCCGGGAATTCATGGGGAGAGGGATTTTTAAGCTCCTTCGGGGCTCTAGCCCAGTAAACGATGTACTTTACATAACCTGAACTTGGCTCCTGTTGAACCTGAACTAATGTTTGAGCTATAAATCATAATAGGCCTCCGTTTTTCTGAGAACCACCGCCATGCGTCTGTTGTTTACGTCTTGTTTCTCCGGAAGGGATGTGATCAACAAATAGGACGCTTTTTGTTTACATAATTTACTAAACAGCCCTATTACAGTACCTCGAGAGATGTGCTACGTTTGGATATCGACCATGAGCTACGACTACGCGGTGATGTGCTCATTAAGTGTCATCAATTAATGTAAGCCACTTGTCAGTTTGGTTTATTTATTTTTACGCTTAATTTTTTTTATTTAATGCCATGACGATTTTTAATTTGTCAGCTACCGTAATCCTCGAACATTCATCGCATGACGGCTTTCATAATGGTTTTAATATTTCCGAACGTCTTTTACATTGCCTTGATCGATTTCTTTGGCGAAGGGATGTTAAAATCTATCTGTGGAGACCTTTTCCATCAGATTCCAGGCTTTACCTTTTTTGTTTCGTCATTTGGTAGAACCAGTGGTGTTGAAGGAGAAGCTTGTAAAAATCGCAATGGAACACTTTGCCAAGCCAAGACTCCAGAGGCGCCTGACTTCTGAGCCGTTTAGCCCTCAGATTTTGCCTTTTCTCAACTTTCTCACTCCAATGGACTTTAGTGATTGTCTGAGCTGTCAAATGGTGGCTCAAAATAGATTCCGGTCTGTTTTCTCTCGATAGATATGTCTCCAGAGCAGAAGGGAACATGATGCACGGATCTAATTGCATCCTAGTTCTCCCTGCCGACATCACCAAATTTTTCAAACGTAATTAGATCCTCCCAGGGACTCGTTGCCTCCCTCCTGACTCCTAATGGATCGATTTCGGGAGGGAATATCACCGTAACCTTCAACAATGCATCCCAGCCTCAAGCTAATCACTGTATCGATCTCCCTGTTAATCCTACCTCTACTGCTTTGAATAGACCTTCATCGACCTATTACTGACCATTTTCTTTTTTTCTGCTCATGCTCATGGAACTCCGACGCTCAGTTCCCAATTTGGTCGCCTATGTATCTTGAATTCTATTTTG